TTTACAGCCCACTAATGACTGTATAAATGGCTTTTTTGAACTTGAAAGGCTTATTAGAATAAAACGTTCATACGATTCACTCTTAACTTGTGTTTGACACCCATTTTGGGGAAAAAATAAATTTTGGAATAGTGATTGATGGAAGAACGTGTAATTAAAAAGTAATGTGAATTTTTAAATTTATATGTAATATTACTTTATTGATAAAATGTGTGGTTGAAATGAAAAAAAAAAGTGTCAAACAGGGGATTAGTGTGCAAAACGTTATCACGTTTCAATTTTTTGTATTTTCACCCTTATTTTAACGTTTCATTGCGAAAAATATCATTTCATCAATTTTTATCCATTTTCTGAATTAAAAATTGTAAAATGACAAATATGCCATTTTATTTAAATAAAATAAAAAGAAAAAAATTGCAATCATACTCTCATTTTTTAAAAAGAAGTACAAATAAATCCCAAATAAATTAAATTGAAAAATAAAAAAAGTAAAGTAAAGTAAAGTCGTCGTCTTCTTCTTCTTCCTCCCCCTTTTCCTCTCCTTCTCTCGTCCATCCCATCTCATCCCATCCCCACCCCTACCTCTCACACTCACCACGAATGAACCCGGAAAATAGATTGGAAAATTAGAGGATTTAGAAATACTAAAAATCAATATCTCATGTTTCTCACCAAATGGTGTAGAAATAATTAGATCGGTTTTAGGATTAAACAAAAGATGGTTTTTCTTCTCATTATTGTCACTGGCATTGTTTTTGACTTCCACAAGCTTTCTTGAATGGAGACGACTTTTCTGTAGGTAGCATTCATGGTACTTTTGATGGAGCACTACATCTCTTGAAAACCTTTATTTCTTGCCATATTTTTGCTTGCACATTTCTAGATAACCAATCATTGTATTCAAACATCAATACCAAGAAACATCTTTTTAAAATCCACATCTAATCGAGTATCATCGTAGAAAAAGAAGATCACCAGGAAAAAGAAGATTAGCAGGCACATGGTGAAAAATGCAAAAGTTTGAAACGTATGAATTTTTTACGCACTGAAGGCCAAACGCAGTGACATTTTGCACAAAAGGTCAAATGTATGGACGTTTTGTACTAGTATGCCTTATAGATCATGGCTTGTCTTTCAAGCTCCTTCCTTTGAACAAATATAAAAGAATTCCCTTTATTTACAATCAATTCATTCCTACTTGGACTCACACAACAAAACAAAATCAACTTTTGATTTACATAGTAAAAACAAAGAAATAGTGATTTAATTACTTGACGATTTGAAGGCGGTGACTATGGCGATTAGAGTTGTAAATGGATCGAATATGCCTATATCCGATTGGATCCGATAAGAAAATTTATCCGATCCGATAATCCAACTGATATTCGGATATCTGATCCGATAATCCGATCTGAAATTAATAAAAATTAAGAAAAAAAAATTTTTAACTAACTTGAGGCTCACCTATTTTTCCTAGCAAGCCCAATAGTGACTTCTATCATCATGATGTTTCTTTTTAAAGGAGATGCCATCTTCTATTTTTCTATTGACATTCGATGTGTGATAATGTAAAATTGAATTTCAATTCTAAATATAAATATTTTATTTCATTATTTCTATAAACAAATCAAATTATTTGTTACATATTAATTATTAGTTTTTGAAATTGTAAAATTAATTACAATAATAAATTTAATTAAGAAAAATAT